TTCAGCATTCTTTAGTGTGGTCAGCATTTTCTTAAATATTTTAGATATTTTGTGTATTTTAAAGAGATAGAGCCAAGACTTCAGAGCTGAAGGAGCTGCTATCGTACGTGATCTTATTTCGTTTTATTCCCAGAACTCCCTACAAAAAGTGAGTAACGCTAATTTTTATATTGTTATTTCCGTCAATTTGTAATGCATGTTACATTTTTTCTACTGTTATCATAGTCTTCTTAATATGATTTACAGTTTTTTTTTTTTTTTTTGCTAATTTTCTGTAGAATATTCACATAGCGAGCACAAACATACATGGATAAGCAGGCTTATAAGAAATACTGTTTACCAGATAACACAGAACGTTGGGTTTCCTTTAATATCTGCTAGCACTGTTTCTAGAAAGTGATCTTATTTTTCATAAACAATATATTGACAATATTTTTGTTTCTCTAGTTTATACTTGACAATAAATCTCGTATCATTCAAAAGCATTTGTTCTGTCCATAAAGAGCATCAATTTATTCATCATGTTAACTACTGCCAGCTGTAATTTTGTCTTCACAATTGTTTACTTTATTTTTCAAACGTCTGCTTCATGATCATTATTGATGATTATTCTCCCCAGACAATCCCCCCAGGACAATCCCCCTGGACGATTCTCCATAATGAATATATATTTATATACAAATATAAAGTAAAGAGTACAAAGTTCAAATCTTTTCATCTATTTTCTAAATATTTCTTAGTGTGATGATGCAACTCGAGGATAGATAAGATTTTAATATTTAAAAAACCATGTATACATTGTGTGTTAAAGCTTTGCAAATACTAGCAAAATAATTGGTGAAAAATTATTTTCATGAAGTACAAGTACATAAAATGTTCGAGATAGAAGTACAGAAAATTTTATTAAAAATCTGATCAAAGTATATCTTCAGGAAAAGGAGAAGTAAACAGATGATCTCACTCATCCAGGTAGCTCTTTGATGTATAAACTGTTATTTTTAATTGCTTTATTACTCCCCCCTTGATTGAGTAAGACTTGAATCAATGTGCATCTCTAGGGAGAGGTGGAGTAAACTGATTTTCTCGCTTATCCAGGTATCCCTTTGACTATTTGTCACTTTTTATTGCTTGATCACTACCCACCACCCACCATACTAAAAATATTCATAAAATATCTGTTTATCTGTTCATCTGTTTACCCCACCTTTACCTGAAGGATTGGTGGTTATACTTCAATTAGATATTTAATTAATCTTCCTATACTTGTACTCAATGAAAAGGGAATTTGTTATAAAATAATTTGTTTCATGATGAAGTTGTATTATCACACTAAAAGTTTTAATAAAATGGATGAAATGTTTTAAACTTTACAATTTCTGTTTTATATTTGTATAAAAATATGTATTTCTTTGGGGGGGGATTGTCCGGGGGGGAATAGTTCGGGGGGGGGGGATTGTCCAGGGGAGAAGGATTGTCCTAGTTCCACGTTGTGATTTAAGTTGCCCTCCGTACCTCCCTTCCACCCTATTTAAGCTTTCTTGTGTCATTTCATCTTTCTTGGGAGGACAGGGGCTTCATCCATAATTTTCTTTTGGAAGAGTCCCGAAAGTAAAAAGACCTCCTGGTGTCGTTTTAGTTTTAAGGTTCACATCTTTTATCTAGTGATGATGGTGATGATGATGATGATTTATTCTTTGTAGTTTAAGGCCTCTGCCCAACAATGCATTACAATCTGTACAAACACAGAAGACATATACAATCAAGGTTTTACATACAGAAATAAATTATGAATACACCATACACATACAAGTATTTCATTTACATATCTGGACGGTTTACATTGTTATCTACTATATTTCTTCTTAGTGCAAAGGAGTTCATTAAAAATGTAGCCGCTGAGAAAATACTCTCTTCGTTCTCGTCAGACATTAAAGTTGTAAACAAATATTTATTTGGAAAGCGGGTTGTCCATTCAGTTCTAAAGTATTTCAATCTGAATTCGTCGTACAAGAGACATAAAAGTAAAAAATGCATTTCGTCTTCTACTGTGTGAATGCCTACTACCTTTGATCTCTGTCGATTTTTGTATAACGGCCTCTTTCGATCATGAGCTCATGACTTGCTTGTAGGTTAAAGGAAGTGAAAGGTATCGCTCAGGATTTAAAACGCTTTTGTACAGTTTATAACTGATGCATTTAGATGATACATTAATATCGGAAAATATAGTTTGTTGTGCACAGTCTGTTATTCTAGTTCTAAATAAACTTAAGAACGCCTCTGCATCCCCAATATCGTTCGCTATCCAGGTGTATCCAAAACCATAATGAAATAATAAGTTTTAATGCAAGTCGCCCAGGATGATCTAGTCTGCTCATTGATTAATTTGAAAAACACCTATGAATATTTTCTGTCAGTCAACATTCGTTGCCGCACCGCACTTGCTAGTCTGCTAATATGTCAGACCCCACTCTCCGTCAATTCTACGAATTCTAGTTTTTACGTTGAGTAGCGAGACTGCGCTCTCTGGGCTGACCCTTACTGTAATCGTCTGTTCACAATACGCCACTCGGCGAAAGGATATCGACAATCTTGCAGTATAAATGACTGCTGGATTAAAACTAGCTAGAACAGGCTGATGTAAAAAAGGTAATGCTAGGATTGATTCCGCAAAACACAAATACATAACATTCACTCATCTCATCATGAAAGCCGAGATTTTTTTTGTGAAGACAAATAGTCTCGTGTACAGGGTAAGCAGAATTCCAACTTATGTGGTTACTTACGTCTGCTTGAACAACTTCTTTTTAATACGTTAATAGATTCTGCATACAGACAGAAAACATAACATGGTTCTCAATTTTCAATTTCACAAATAGAATGTGCCTTAAAGCTGCAGGGCTCGTCATGCCACAGATATTTACGTTGAGCAAACAGCAACAGACAGTTCTCGTGTACCCCGTTCTGATGCAGACGATCAAAGAAGTCCCAGCCTAAATATCCTGAAAGGTTCAAGTATAGTCCTGTGTAATATTGAGTTCTGTGTTGTTACCACACTGACTAGCCGTGACTAATAGCGATATACAATGATCCCAAACAGAACTATGAAGTACATCTACAGTGTAGTAGTAAAATAAACATCAGATTACCGTTGCATACTATTTTCCAGGAGGATGAAGGCCACACAAGATCATATTGACCAATGAATGCCTTCAACATGGTGATCTGCCGAAAATAATACCACGACAGCAACAATAAAAACATTAATACAGACAAACTAAGAAAATAATAAGCACCACAAATACGGCACATTTAAGATTGAATCACAGCTAACTGAAGTCATTAAAACGGCATATCTCACCTTGGACCAAAGATCCATCAGAAACCCATTGCCAAATCCCTTCCACTGCCGCGTCTGTGGCTCCAGCGTGAAACCCCCAAAAATTTGGGAAAAGCTCTGCAACAGATAACAACGCATACCGCATAAAACTTATTCAGTGCATCGAATAGGCAACCTTAATTTTTTAACGAAAAAATAAATCAGTTAAAGAAAAGCAATAATTGTATAGATGATTCATGCACAATTCGAAGCGCCACATTGACAGCTAAGCATACTTATTACAGTAGGCGTCAAACTTTGTAACTTTCTGCCACGCGTTTATTAACCAAAATTCAACTGACAGCTGCATTTTTGAATACATTTTGCCTCTTTATTAACAGATAATGTTAAAATAGTGTCTGTCACCTTTGTGTGTGGCTACGTGGTCCAGGATAAACTTCTGCTCTTCCCAAGACTTAATGGACACCAGGTTCGCCCCCATGGTACGACAGTCATGTTGTGCCTGCTGCCACGTCTTCTCCTCTCTCACAAACTTGTAGCACGAGCGTTGGAACTTCACAAAGCCAGACATGCACTTGGTATCTAGTAAATATTAGAGAGAATAATCCTAAGAGTTTTTAATAAAATGTGTATTCTGTGGTCCGCACTGTGACAGGTGAAATATTATGACGCAGGTGCCTCGTCAATAAGAGATTCATGCCAGCGACATATGTACAATATTAGATACATCCCTCAGTTAGTAGTTTTTTATTGGTGAAACAGCTAATCAGCTACGTAATTTCAGTAGAAATATTTGGGAATTTTTGTTTATGCTTATCAGAGAAACAAACTGATACTTCAAACCAAAAGGCATACTGTGCTCCAATATACAAAATGTGCTATTATTGAAAAAAGAATAAAAACAAGTAGGCGTTACAAAAAATGGTGGAATACTTAATTGTTTACGATCAAATAATTTCATATATGTTTTACTCAATGGGGTAAGAAAGGAAGATGTATGCTCTACTTGGTTAAACAAAATGATGACTAAGCAAACCCTCCAGCTGGGGTCTTTGTAGCTGTAGCAAAATTGGACAACAGC